AGTAATAATAATAATTAAAAAAAAACATTAACAGTAAATAACATGCTATGACCTCGCTTATAATATTTATTTCTGTCAATAATTTAAAATGATGAATTTATAATTGTTCCTTGTTCTAATTTTATTAAAATTCCCATCTTTGAATCATTTCAGAGATAAAGCCTAAATATTTCATCATTTAAATTCGATCAGTAATTCGATTAAATTTCCATTCATCTCTTTACACTTTTAATCCGTACACCTATTATTAATTCAGGGAAATATATTTTATAATTATTAAAATGTCATTTATATTTTTTTATATGTATTTATTAATATAATATGGATGAAAATTTCGACGACAAAACTGAATATAAAATGTAATAAGCAATCAAAGGTCATCATAATTGAACGCAAAAAATTGACATTTCAACTGTCAAATCTTATCATCTTCAAATATTGCCTAATATGGTAATCAGATGATTTATACATTGGTATATTGACTATCTTCTACGAATATATATATGTTTCTGGAAATAATTCGGAATTATTCAAATAATTAAGGACTTTAGTTTAAAAATCTGTCACAAAAATATGAGAGAAAAGAACAGATGCCAAAATTATTTGAAAATAATTATTCAAAAAATTTATTCTTGCAGTTTGCATATGTTTTACCACAACGCGAATGTATAGCTAATATGATCGTTAACCTATGACCTCAATTACTCATTTAATAATTCCGATTACTATTGATAATTTTATGTTGATTATTTCTGCTTCATAATAACATTTGCTGTTCAAATTGTGGCAAAAGATCAAATTTTGTCAATACTTCAGGTTGCATTCCAATATGAAGTTCTATTCCCTCAACTATTTTAATATTTTGAAAGTGATCACATATGTGACAATCAAAGTGAAACAAATTGTGAGTGTAGAAGTAAACACGGAATTAAGCAGACGAAGTGAAGATAATGAATTCAGTTAAGGATTGAATAGGCCTGAAAGTTAACTTCTTGACATGCCAGTGTAGGCCTAAATTTTCACTAACGCTTAATTGTGCAGCGGATAAAGTTGAGCTTACTAAAGAATTATATTTTCAAAATCATTCATGCGTATAGCCACAGGATCAATTGTTTGAATAGCATCTTTAAATCTCAAATTTATCATAATTTTCTGATAATGATTATGGAAATGAAAAAATGAAGAATCAGTTAGAAATAATCAAAAATTAGAGGGTAACATCAAAGATTAACAGGAAAGAAATATTAAAAATGTAACAAAAAATTTTTTGGATTAAATTTTGAAAAGTTTTAACGACTAAAAAAGATCGAGATCTTATTGGAAGAAAGTTAAAATTTATATTTATCATTTGAATTTTCTCATATGCAATGAATAGTAAATTGATTTCAATCTTTTGATTGATGAATTACTTTCTTTCAGAAGCTTTCGAATTTTATAACTTTTAACATGATTACACTGCATAGCTTTATGATGGATTATTGAAATTCCCCAGGGAATCGAAAATTTAAACAGATAATTTCACTTGGACTTTATCTCTCTTTTCTTCATATTTTATTTTTCACACTCTTATTCGTATTCAGACTAATATATCTTTTATCAACGTAATATTCAAAGTTTTTTAAATAAAATTTCATCTCGAATCGTTCAAATTTCTTTTTTCACATTTCGAAATTTAAATCATGCAAAAAATTGTTATTTCTGCTCTGTGATCAAAAAAACAAAATATACGTCAACTGAAAAATAAATTAAAAGTCAATTCGCCATTCCTCATAATATAAGATTGAAAATAATAAAAGTGATCATTAATGTGTAACTGAATCATGCAATTTTTTTGTCGAGCAATTTTCCTATATATTCCGAAGGTAATAAAATATGCCACTGAAGCTTTAAAAAAGCAAAAAATAAGTGAAATATTAAAATTAGAGTTTATTAGAAGTATGCGAAAATAAAATATGGAAAATTTTGAACGCCTAAATTTTCATTATACGAATAATTGTTCCTTATTGTCCTCTTTAGCCGTCAGAACAATAAATTTCTAAAACATTAATTTTCTCTTCATATTAAAATTTGCTTTTCATTTACGCACCGATAAAAATATATATTTGTATTTGTATTGCCAGTATAATAAAGATATGTGTTGCTGATACAATAAAGATATTTGTGTGTTGCTGACACAATAAAGATGTGTATATGTATCTGCTCATCTAGTATATATATATATTATAATAAGATAAAGCTATGTTTGTATGTGTAACATATGCATTTTTTATAACTTTAAAAGTGTATAAATACTTGTTGTAAGCGTATTTGCCAGAATAATAAGGATTATCTATTGTAGTAAATTTAATCAAAATGGTAAATAATTTGATATAAAATTTGACTGAACCTTTTGTGCTTTGCAAATTTTATCAAGGCTTTGCACATCATGATTGGAATGTTTCGTTTCTTGCAAGCATTGGCAACAGACGGCTAATCGGCAAATCATACAATACATTGAAATGCTTTCACATGGATGATTTGAGCATTTAGAATCTTTTGGTAAACCGACTGTTGTCCGATGTGATCTTCTAAATAAATTTAGGTTAAAGTTCATTTGCCAGTTTGAAAATTTAAAAAAAAAATGAAAGGAAGAATTATTGCATATATTCCTATACACACTGCTTACATTTCCATTTCATTGATATATCTTTATTTCGAAAAAAAAAAAATCGAAATGGAAAAAATCATCTAATAGCATTTTTTTTTTCAAAATTTCAACAGGTGGGTGATTTATCCCGAATATGGTAATTTTATATAAAAAATTTGAAAAATTAACGATAAATAGTCATAATTTACTAGTGTTTATTGTACTTTCATAAGGAAAAAGAAAAAGCAATAATAATTAATGATATTAAATTATGATGATAATATGAAATCACCTTGCAGATGGTGGTACTAATTTATGTGAAGCCAAAGGTCCACGAGGTGGATGTAACGAATTTTGGCATGATTGACAATAATAAATGTCACATTGTTCACAAAAAACATTGGCTATTGCTGGTTCCTCGGTATCGCATAACTGAAATGTGAACCTTTGAAGAGAAAGCATCACATTTCTCGTTATACACGAATCTTAACATATCTCCGCACCTATCTCTCTCCTACGATTATTGCATTTCTTTGTTTTCAGTTACCTTCAAAGTAGCAATTAATCAATTCTACGCTCAATATCTTCCAAATAAGCTACATATCATAAATCTACGAGAACAATCAAACATATCTGTGAGTATTTCGTGGTACAGCGAAATAATGAGAAATAACTTTCGCCACTTTCTTCATGTGTTCGCACATGTATTTCACTTTTCATGATTCATTTAATGTTTAGCTTAATTATTAGCTAAAATTAGTGATGAACTAAAAAAAAAAACATACCTGGCAGTTATATGTTTGTTCACTACTACTGTTTTTATCTCGAAATGATAGATTACCTGAATTGTATCTGAAATTCATTGGCTTTTACATTCAATAATGAAAAGTGATTTTATTTCCGGATGAAACTGCTAATATCTTAAATGAAATGGTTTTATATGGTGATGAAGGATGCAAAATAGTGATCTTTTCCAGATACCTTTTGATAACATTAACAAGAGCATTATTGATAGGCATTAGCATAACAGCTTGTTCATCCGGAAAAACCGTCGGTTTATGGCATGCCTTACAAGTAATAATCCATCCTGAAGTTGATGGTGTTAAAATAGACGGTAGACGATGTCCACCGAAACAACCGGAAGGTAAAGGATGTGCAGTTGTTGAACAAATTAATGATGGAGGTCGAGAACCTGAAAAAGTTATTTCACGTAGTAATAACAATAATCGTACGTTTATCAGTTAATGTATGATAATAAAGTACACCAATATTGATTTTTTAATAAGAAATTTTAATTATAGATTAAATTCCATTATATAAATATATAATGTTTTTTAGGAGAAAAAAACTTACTCCTACCGGAGACTACCACTCCGCTATCAGTTTCTGATATAATCGACAGTTTGTCGCTTTCAATATCCTGATCAGAAATGCACAACGAAATTGTATCACTGGCTCCTAAAATTTAAGTTCTTTAAGTTTTCGTTGAAAAAT